CTTTTATTCTTCTTCTGTTTCAAAAGCAGTAGTTGGTTATTCCACATCCCTCCAACTCCCAAATCTTGATGGCTTCTCATCAGAGACTTGGGGAAGCCAGCATTGATCTAGAAGCAATCAGCTCACATCAGCTCAGTATTGGACCAAAGGTTGTGCAGTGTATCAATGATGGGTAATTTATTGTGTCAGAGGAAAAGGCCACAAGTATTCCTTGTCTAATGGAATAGATACATTGCAGGAAAAATTGCTATCAAGTGAGTTTCTGGCAAGTCCTGTTTCACTTTGATTTTTATAATAAAACCATGGCCATGTTTTGCTAGAAATGCTAAAAGAAAAAGATTGGCTTTGGGTTGTAATTAAACCATGTATTTTAAACCATGTTTTTAAAAACTACAATAATAAGATGATAGTGCAGGCCCAATCATCTTTAAACTATAATTAGAATCCTGTGCTGGACAGTTAATTTGTCCCCACCTTTCTCACCTTTAAATTATGCTCTTCATTTGATTCAATTTTTTTTTTCCTACTGAAACCTCCTCCTCATGAGCCCTTTATTGATTTCAGGGCTTCTTGCCTTATAATACTAGCAAATGGACGTTTTTGAAAATTGGAAGTTTAGTTGACAGAGTTTCCCCCACACACACCAAAAGCAAAGCTTTGTTGATAGAATGAACCCTCAGCCCCTCTCACATACATTGTCTCAACTGATGCGCAAAGCAACTAAAGAAATAGGTGGGGCATATAATAGCCCTATTTTGCTGATGAGAAAACTAAGACCTAGAGATGAATTGGCTTTCTCAATATCATCCAGCTAGAAAGTGAGAAGGGGGAACAGAACCAGAATCTTAAGATTCTGCTTTAAACAAGAGGTTTTTCTGGGAGGCAATGACACCATCAATCTGAGTTTACTAAAAGGCTTTCTTAAGAGGCCCAGGCCATCAAGTCATACACAAGTTGCCTTCTAAATTTGAAAAAGGAAAACAAAATTATGGCAAAGTAAAGATTTCAAGTTTTTTCAACTCACCTACTAGTTTAAGTGAAATTCATCCCAAGAAGAGCCATATTTATTTTTTCAGGTGGTCCAGAAACTCTGTATATGCTTTGTAGTACACTGGGTCTCTTTGTATAGGTTGTGTGCCCATTTGAAGGGGTGTGGGGGACTCATTCAACTATCTGTAATGCTTACAGAAGTGGTTGTTTTGTTTTTATTTTGTACGGCCTGTTACTGGTCATAGTTATAGTTTTATTTGATTTTTGGTTCCTAGACTTCCCAATTACAATATTGACACAAAAGTCTGGTCTGGTTTCTGATGTCGTTTTATGAGACCTGAAAATTCTTCATCAACGTATTCACTTCTATCTAGCAGACATCTCTGCTTCATCTTATTTTAACAATTATTGGCATTCCTCAGGGGCAAGGGAAACTACAACACATTTAAAGAAAAAATTCCCTAGTTTCTGCTCAGCACAATGATCATCAAATTAGTATCCTGTGCCTCTATTCCCTTTTCTGCTCCTAATTTAATATGCTAGGAGTAGGGACTCATAGCACATCAGAATTTGTCTACATGAGCCTAGTAAACTGTCCATTACCCACAGAACAATTAAAGAGGCCATTTTAACTGTGGAACAATTAAAGAAGGAGGAGGAAGAAGAGGAGGGGGAGGGAAAGAAGGAGGGGGTGGAGAGGAGAAGGAGGAGGGAAGAAATTAAACAAAAAACATATCTCCTCTTTTTAAATTTTTTTTTTTTTTAAGTTCTGGGGAGTGCTATTCCTTGAACTGCCTTTTAGGACTTAATTTCTTAATTCCAGTAAATGAGTTTCTGTTAAATATTACCCGTTCCAGTGAAAAGATTGGGCAAATAGAGATCAGTTGTTCTGCTATCAGTGAAAATGACAGTATTTTTCTGCCCAGAATAGTTCTCTTTGCTTCTTTCCAATTGGGCCGGGGATTCTATATTCAGAGCATTAGTCAATGCAGAGGGGCAATGTAGCTTGGTGGAAGAAGCAAAGGCTTTTATATCACCAAAATTAGCTTCAGCAGTTGCCTGATGGGTAACCTCAAGCAGGTTTCTTACCCTCTCTGAATCTGGATTTCAGTTTTCTCACCTGTAAAATGAGTCTAATACCCACCCATTGGGGCTATTAGAGAGAAGGATTACAGGAGATGGGACTTAGTAAGTGCTTGGTAGAAAGAAGGTCATTATTACATTTTAGAAGAGGTATGTTAGGGGTACCTGGCTGGCTCAGTTGGTAGAGCTAGCGACTATTGACGGTAGGATCATGAGTTCAAGCCCCACGTTGGGCATGGGGCCTACTTAAAAATTTTTTTTTTTAAGATTTTATTTATTTATTTGACAGAAAGAGAGCTCACAAGTAGACAGAGAGGCAGGCAGAGAGAGAGGAGGGGAAGCAGGCTCACTGCTGAGCAGAGAGCCCGATGCGGGGCTCGATCCCAGGACCCTGGGATCATGACCTGAGCCGAAGGCAGAGGCTTTAACCCACTGAGCCACCCAGGTGCCCCTTAAAATTTTTTTTTTAATTAAAAAAAAATAGAAGAGAAATGTGAATGAACAGGTAGAAGGGAGCGATGCAGAGTGTGGCCTAGCAAGAGTTAACTTTATCACTCTGGAAGGTGTCTTTCTAAAATATTCAACACATTTACAATAACCACGGGAATGGGTGTGTGTGTCTTTGCAAACAAAACATGTAGATGCATGTCTTCATGCCTGGGCTGGCTTCAAGCACTGATTACAGCTTAAGAACAAGAAAATAAATGTGATTTCATTTGGGTGTTGAGGGCAAACCTCTGATAGTGCTTCTTAGCTGTGGCAGACACTAATAATTTGGGAGGGTTCCCACTTTGCTAGACACCGATCACCATTTATGTATGTATGTATGTAGATGGGTAGGGTCAGTGTCCTTGCTGGCAAACTGTAGATGATACTATCAGCATCAAGCTGAACCGGGGCTTCCTTGGCCACAAAATGGGTCTGTCTGTCTATCTGTATGATATGAGTCTTGGTCATACACTAGACCTATTCTTCGTCAACTGGTGTTTTTCTCCCTTATTTACTTCTGCCCACAACGCTAGCCCATTAGTGCTATTACTAAGAGAGTGGAGCATAGGGCTCTGTGGATGGCTGTCTCCATATGTTGCAACAGAAGGAGAACAGAGGTGATTGGGAGGCCCTGATACCAGTTCTGCCACTGACCAATGGTATGACATTAGCAAACCCAGTTGGCTAACTGCTTTGTAGCTTGATGCCCTCAGCCTACCGCCCAGATGTATTGTGATCTTCCAAAGGAATGGTGAAAGGAAAAGTATCCTGAAGTGTCTTAAATACTCTGGTCTTGGGGGTGTTATCTTTAGGTTCTTTCTTACCGTATATTTCATGGCTAGGAGAGATACTCTAGCTATTCCAGCCAGAGTCTAATAAGTTCTTGCATTTCCTCTGCCCAGACCTATGGCAAAGATGGGAATTCCAGTTGGAACATAAGGACAAAATGTAGAGTTCAAGCCATCTAGTTCCTAGGCTGGAGGTCAGGGATCTCTGCTTCATTTTCCCCAAAGGCCATTAGAGGTCTTTTCCAGGATAGCAACAAAGTCTTTTAATCTAATTTTTCCCCTAGCTAATGAGACTCAGAGGTGACCTTCTTGAAGATTCCCAAGTACACATTTAATTCTGTATTGTTGTTCATTCCACAGCACACCTCAGAATAGAATGTCCACTGCATACCAGACATGGCATCTCTGGAGATACCATGGTAAATGTGTCAACTGAGCACCCTGCCCTCTCAGACCTTCGGTCTAGTGAGGGCAACAGGTGCAGAATATCTCTCTACATGGTCCCCACATATCTTAATCCTCACTTCTCCAAAGGTGGACTCTTCATCTTCCACCCAAGACTCTTCTTCCCCTAGGCTTCCTCAAGTCAGTGAAGAGATCCACTCAGTTGTCCAGTCAAGAAACCTGGGAGTCATCCTTCAAACCTCCCTCTGCCTAACCCACCTATTCCAATCTAATACTATGCTATATGGTTTTTACCCTCTGAAATCATTCTCAAATCTGTCTTCTCCCTGTCTTCACTGTCATGAACCTAGTCCAAGTCACCATTATTTCTCTCCAGGAAGTCACAGCCTCCTCACTGGGTTCTGTTTCTCTGGTCTTGCTGCCCCATCCTCTCCCTTCCTTTATGTGTAGAATCGATACTGTATGGATTTTGGTTAAGTTCCTTTCCCTTTCTGGGCATCAACGTCTCCATACTGAATGGGATGAGATCCCAAGTCTTGTTCAGCTCTCTTTTTCTGCAGTTCCATGATCAGATGGTTCTTGATTGCACTCTGACATGGCTATCTAGACTTCCAGTGAAGGTATTGCTGTGCCTGACCACTGACTTCTCAGTGTGTATATTCATTCATTCATTTCTCCATTCATTCAGCATTTACTGAACTCCCATTATATACTAGGCACTGTACTTAAGTGCAGATGATTTGGTGGGGAATAAGACACAGGACTTGTCCTCAAGGAGCGCAATCTATTGAGGGGTATAGACACAAACAAGCAATCTAGCAGATTCTGTGAGGTGGGGGCAATCATGGAAGGCTCCCTTGAGGAGCTGACATCTTTGTAAAACATTTTTTAAATTTTTTAATTTTTTTTTAAAGAGAGAGAGAGAGAGAGAGCATGTGTGAGTGAGCGAGTGAAAGGGGGGTGAGAGCTAGAAGAGAGGGAGAGAGAGAATCTTAAGCAGTCTCCACACCCAGTGTGGAGCCCAATGTGGGGCTCAATGCAGGGCTTGATCTCATGACCCTGAGGTCATGAACTGAATTGAAATCAAGAGTCAGACACTTAACTGACTGAACCATCCAAGCATCCCTGGAGGAGCTGCTATCTTTATTGGATCCTGAATGATAAGTAGGAGCTAACCTGGAGATCAGAGACATGTACAAAGGCCCTGGGGCAGGATGTTAAAAGAAAGTAAAGCAAGTTTGGAAGATGGTAGACCAATTAGGAGCCTGTGGCAACACTCTAGGGAGACATGAGGAAGACCTGGCTGAAGACCGTGAGGATAGAGAGAAATGAATAGGTTTGAGTTATATTTTGGAGGTGGAATTGACAGTCCTTGCTAGTGGATTGGATGTGGAAGATGAGGGAAGAGAGGTCGTGGAGAATGTTTGGGTTTCTGGTTCAGTCAACTTTGTGGATAGACTGTGATTTGCTAAGTTAGTTCCATTAACTCAAGGGGAAGAAACTGGTTTTGGGAATAGGGTTGAGGAGAATATGATGAGTTCAGCTTTAGTCTTGTTGAGTTTGGGATGGTATATCCAGATAGAGAGGCCTAGTCAGTCATTAGTTATCAGGATCTGGCACATAAGAAGAGCAATCGGGGCTGGAGATTTAGACTGGAAAGTCATTAATATGTAGAGGAAGTTCCTTTAGGAGAATGAGCAGACACTGAAGAGCTGAGTGCCCAGGAGAGCCAAGACACCAACGCTAAGTAAGGGAGGGGGGCAATGCTCTCATAGATGTGGGGTGCTGGCATACATGCTCATTCATTCCTGGGCACACATCCCTGCCCCAAAGAGAGTTTCTCAATGATATCTGTGCATCTCCCCCTTAAACTTTGGAGAAGGAACATTAAAAGTACTCAATCATAACTTCTCCATTTTATTATAAATGATACGTAAAGAGGAATGGGAATGGATATTTTCATTCTACCTGCCAGGAGCTCATTAACTCACTTAAATTCCTACAATAACCCTCACGAGAGCTATTATTTCTCAGAGCTCTAGAGACTCAGCAGTTAAGTCACTTGTCCGAGGTCACCTAGCTATTATGTGGCAATAAGGAGATTGGACTCCAAATCTGTCGGACTCCAGTTCCAGCATTCTGATACCAGGAAAGTCTGCACACGTTCCCTTTATTCCTCTGCTTCATAGATACCATTTGCATCCCCTAGCGTAATGCTTTGCTCTCCATTAAAATACAAATCCCCTTGGGTAGAAGTAAAGCTCTAAGTTGTTGTCAGTCATGTATGCCTCAGTGGCAATGAGTTTCAGATTCTTCTGTAGGCATAAATTTTAATTTGATTGGAGAAGGACACTGGAAACCTCAGAGAGGGATAAAAAGACAGAAAGGGGGCTAGTAAGGAAAAGCCAGCCCCCCTCAATGTCACACTCCTAACTAGCCTGAGGTGTGTGCTTTTAAGAGTCTTTGATGCTATTTTTGCGCACGTGTACCTCAGTAGTCTCCCCTTCTCTGCGGTTTTGCTTTCCATGGTTTCGGTAACCTGCGGTCAGCTATGGTACTGAAGCAGACGATCCCCCTAACGGCTACATCACAGTGCCTCCATCTTTCCCCTCATTTCACCTCATCGTGTAGGCATTGTATCATCTCACCCCATTTCAAGAAGGGGCAGTCCAGAACAGTAAGATATTTTGAGAGAGAGCCCCCATTCACATAACTTTTTTTTTTTTAAGAGCAAAGTGTTAATAGTTGTTCTATTTTATTATTATTGTCAATCTTGTGTTGTGGCTGGTTTACAAAGTAAACTTTATCCCAAGTATGTATGTATAGGAAAAACAATAGTGTATATATATGTATATAGGGTTTGGTACCATCTGTGGTTTCAAGCAACCACTTTGGACATCTTGGAATACATACCCATGAACAAGGAGGGACTACTGTCTTTTATATGCAGAGCCATTACTGGGTCTGTTACCCCAGTGATGTGGGGCCAGAGCTGTGGTTGTGGTCTGATCTAAGGTTACCCGAAACTGCATCCTAACCCCAATGCCTGAGGCCAGGAACTGCTGCAGCCTACTGAACCGGGGCTGGCTGCCTCCCGCTGACCACATGGCATTGGGGTTAGGATGCAGTTTCGGGAGGCAGCCAGCCCCGGTTCAGTAGGGTGCTGCAGTTCCTGGCCTCAGGCTCAAGTCCCAGCTCAGTCTCTTGAGAATTCCACCCTGCTGTGCATATTTAAAATCCCTAGCAGATGGAGGCAAGAGAGCTTGTTGGAAAGACTTGGAGGAGTCCCTTCTGCCCTGTCTGGGTCTATTTGCCAAAATAAATGACATGTATCAGGGCAGGGCATTGGTCCAAGCCCATTGAAATTCTGCTAGCAGTCCAAACAGTGCCGGTGTTTCAGATTGGTTCTGTGAAATGATCAGAGTTAGGAAGACAGAAATGATGTGTGAGCATCTGGCTGCTGCAGCCTACTGATGGGGATAGTCCCAGGGGCGGGCCTGGGGTAAGGGGGGCAGCCTCAAGGACCCCCTAGGACATCTGCCACTGGCGAGCCAGGAAAGAGCCACACACTGGCAGCCGGCAGTCTGGTTGGAGTCTCGTACTGTTTTCCTCACTAGCTCTGGGACCTGAACAAGTCCTTCCCCTTCTCTCGGCCTCTTCCCCCACCCCCCACCCCCATGTATAAAACAGAAACTAGATGAAATGGTCTCCAGAGGCCCTTTCTGCTCGAACATTCTGTGACTTCTCGGGCACTGGTTTGATTTCTTCTTATTTGTATTGAGAGAGAGAGGCCCACCCACCCACCTGCTTATCTGCAGCTGCTGTGTTCTTACACTGACCTCTGCTGGCCATTATGAAAAGTACCACCGATCGCTACTTCGCAGCCCTCCCCCACCCCCTCAAAGCAGTTCATCATTTATTTAGGGTTAAGCTTCAGCAGTAGAGTGAGCACAGAGACAGGAACCCTGTGCCTTGGAGACGAGCGAGAAAGAACATGCATCTGGAAGCACAGAGCAAGCATATCTAGAGATGGCTGACAAAACATCCCAGAAAACAAACGTTGTCTCTCACTTCTTGTAGCCGTCTTCATCTGTGCCCAGTGCTCTGAGCCACTGTAGGATGACACCGCAGTGGGGAGGAAGAGTCCTTGTCTCTTAGCCTATGACTGTAGGCTCCAGAAGGGCCTGGCACCCCACTGAGGAGGCAGTTCTAGGCTCCTGGTACCTCAGAGGCCTTGAGACATTCCGCATGCCCTGTTTCTGGCCCTTAGGTAGGCCTGAGAGCTTCCTAGCTGAGGCCAGCCCAGAAGCTCTACCTCAGAGGTAAGCATGCCCCTGAGGGGGGCCATTTCAGAAACCCCTTTGGAAAAAGAATTAGAATCCAAAGAATCTACAAGTCCTTTCAGAGACTCACTTTAAGCTCTCTGTGGCAAATTCAGCATGGCAGGCCCTCCAAGAGAAAGGGAGCCGGCCAGGGAATCCTGTCTTTTCTGGATGGAATCAGATTTCCTGTTGAGTCCAGTCCTAGAATCGCCTCATTCCTACATCTCCTTAGTTACTCTTGCTGAGCGTGTGCTCACAGAGGCAAGAGACCAGAGTTGGAGCGTGCCAGCCAGGCCTTCCCTGCTTAGGCCCCAGTGATGCGAGCAAGATGGGAATTGGGCCACACCACAATCCACTCTCTCAGTGCAGTGGTTTATTGTGCTCTCCACCTCCCGTCCCTTGATGTGAGAAAACTTTGGGCAGGCCTCAGATCTGGGTCAAGCTTGCAGTGTCCTGCCAGCCTTGTCTCTGCTAGTAATAACCTGACCTCAGCAAGCCCATCCTGGATCCCATCCTCCCACCAACCACTCCCCTCCTCCCCCAACAGCTGGTTCTTATCTGTCTCCCTTGTTCCGGCCTCAGGCAGGCTGCCCTGGCCTCCGGCTGACACACACTTGTTCTGAATGCTCACTGATGAGTTTCAGCCTCAAAATGCTGCCTTCCTCCCATCCATCCCCTATCTCCAAACCTCTGAGGGTTCCCTATGAGTTCCTCTATCAAGTCTTCAACTTTCCTTCCTTGCTTTCCAAGCCCACCTCAGTTGGGGGCCCCCTTTCTTTCCAGCGTGGGCCATGACTCTCCCCAACCATGGACAGAACGTAAGCATTTCCCAGGCCTTCCATGGCCACGCTTTCTTTGCGCTCCTGGACCACTTAGGCTCTGTTCCAGACTTGTACTGTTTGCTCTGGTTTTGTGGCTTACCTTTTAGACTTCTTCGTTAACCTCAACACTCCAGCATTATATTTTTATAAGTATATAAAATATACAATATTTTATATAAAATATACTTATATTTTTATAATTGGTCTTCTTTTTAGTATTGGTATTGGTCTTTTTCTTCTTTTTTGGTCTTTTTCTTTTTCTCTTACCATATATGCAAGAGTAATAAATAACAGAATCATTACATAGAAAATTCCAGCAATGGGAGATAAAAGCATAAAAAGTGAAAGTTCTCTTCCTGCTCCATCATTCCCAGAAATAAGCCCATTAAGCACTCCACAGCCTAGCACCTTTTGAAAGTTATACTTTGGGTGCTGGAGAAGGTTGAGTGGTGCGTGGTCACCCCAGAAAATTGCATCTCCTTGGGAAGAACCTCTTTGTACTTCCTTAGATGAGTCATCAGTCTTTGTGGGCCTGATTGACACCGGAAATTTTACTCTAAAGGCCCCACATAGCTGGCGGCCACTTGCATCTCCAGTACGTGATTCTAACCACTGCCTAAAGCATCTGTCCTTTTTCCAGCTTTTAAAAAGTAACCTTTGCGGGTGAATATTAAGGAGCCTGTCTAATGGGCTTTTCTGAGTTTTTCACAGATCTGAGGAAATTGCAGATTTCAGTCTGGAAAAGGACCAAGAGGTGGAGATGGGAAGCGTTCATGAAAATAGGGTCTCTACCTGGTAGGGTGTTGTGTTCTCTGAGAGGTAATGCACATTACTAATTTTTTTTCATCTTTCTGCCAAGAATATTCAGTACCTACTGGGATTTGTTCTAAATGATAGACTAGCCCACCTGTGTTGCACCCACTGTTGTTAATTCTCTGTCTCGGTTAGCTTCAAAATGTCAGCCTGAACTCTCATGCTTAATTGTTACAGGCACTTCATAGCTAATGCATTCAAAATCCTCAAGGTGCTCCCTCTTGCTATCATAATTGATGTTTAATGCATAGTCTCAGGCTTCTTGAATTTTACACATTCAACACTCTACAGATGGTGGGTTGAAGGGAAAGAAGGAGAAATAGAGGAAAAATAAACAGTGTGTGTGTGTGTGTGTGTGTGTGTGTGTGTGTGTGTGTTCCCTGTAAGCATCTGTTTCCAGTTGCATTGATGGGGTCCTGGGATCTGCATATGAAGATGAGCTTTTGCAGGTTGATCAGTCCAAAGATCCTCTCTCGATCTTTCTCCCCTCTCTGGATCCCCTGAGGCAGTGTTCTTTAGGCCTAGCCATTTCCGGACTTCACAGCAAGTACGGGATTGGCCATTTGAATGTGAGTTATAAAATGTCACGATGCTCTCCAGTGTTCTGTTCTTTCATTATTTTGACAACCTGATGGATGACCTGGCACTAACCAGGAAGAGGACAATATTATCCTGCCTGAATAACTAATCTAAGAAGTACAAAGTTGAAGGATCTTGGTGCACATGAATCTTATTAAATGTGCTTATAAAATATGTTCTATCCAAATAAGCTTAGCAGCCCTGAAAATAGCCTTTTCTGATCCATGTCTGGAACTTTGGCATGCTTCACAGATCTCTAAGCCAAAATTATTTAGTGAAGTGATGACAGTGTTCTCTGTGCATGGGAAAATTGGAAGTGTTGATGTTGAGTCCCCTATTGGCTAACTGCACCCCTTCTCTCCATCATAGGGGCGACCAGGACCAATTGGAATTCAAGGTCCAGCGGGCGCTCAAGGATTTGCTGGCCCTAGTGGTTTAGCAGGATTGAAAGGAGAAAGGGGTTCCCCAGGCCCCCTGGGACCGTATGGACCAAAAGGAGATAAGGTAAAAACACCAGAGCTTGGTTTTTCTTTGACTATGGACTACATGTATGAAGGTAAAAGGTTCTAAATCTCAGTTTTATGGAAATAATACTAATCCCAAGGACCTTGGTGCCAGGCTACAGAATTTAATAGGAAACAGGCTGGGGCATACGCTGGAGGATACCCATTTCTAGAGAGACCCTCATGGCAAGCAAGCCATAAAGTGTATGTGTTGGCTACTTGCTAGAAAAGTGGGCTTGCTGGGCTGGGATTTCAGGTGGGTTCGATGTGGGCATGGGTCAGAAGTTCAATCAGCTGGGCAGGAGATGACAGGAATCCGATTAAGGAGACTGGGAAGCAAAGCGTCAGAATGCTGGGAAGAAATCTGGGCCACAGAGTTAGGGAAAGACACTCTAGAAAGGAGGTTGATCATGTCATGGTAGCTGGCTGAGTTTAGCAGCTTAGTTTATATTCCCTGCACCTCCTATTCACCCCACTGGTAAAGGAGGTATTCCCACCCTAGGGTTCTGGGGATGGCAGAAGATATGACCCCTGACGCCAGATGGAAGAGATTGACATTAGGTTTATTAATCACCTATATTCACAGTAAAGGGTAGAAGGACACCACACACCACACAGGACAACAAAATGGTGCGTGGAGGTGCACTCTAGAACAGAATAAACCAGAAGGGGCTGTGGGAGGCAACACTGAATAATTCACTGGGCCATCAGGGACTGAAACCCACGACTCAGGAATAAGCAGGAGCTGCACCTTCTCTGTTTCATACGGAGGACCATTTGCCTAGGACATCTTATCTGTGGGAGCAGAGGAGATAGGGGAACTTGGGACTAGGCCTTTAGAGGCCCTCCTGGTTTTCCCAGATGTCAAAACAGCATGTGATACTGAGCCATTATTTTCAGTCTGGCACCATATTGCTTAAAATAAAAACTGGTCTCAGAACACAGACATATTTACGACCTTGAGTATAGGCAAGTGATTACCCAGACCTGGAGGAGGGAGCAAGGTGATGTAATGTGGAGAGGGAAGTGCACAACACTTCTCAGCTTAGGTCACAAATCACATGGAAGAACCCACTTAATCTAGTGGAGATCAATTAGAGTGTCTCTTACCTTCTTTTTCCCTCCTTGTTATAGGGTCCCATGGGAGTTCCTGGCTTTCTAGGCATCAGTGGGATTCCAGTGAGTATGTGCACAGAGGCATTTTTTAATATCACTTCTAGGTCACCTTGGCCTTCACCACATCCTGTTTCAAGTGTTGAGATGCACACGATCGGGTTTGAAGCAAAGTGTTTGCACACACTTTCCCAGGGATTGAGTTACAGGTAGCACTCAAGTCAGGTGGCTGGAACACGCACAGGCATAACATTCAATATCTTAGCCAAGAAGAGTTAGGTCTTGTGGTTGAGGGGAGATTCAACCGGGGATGATATGTGGAGACACACATCAGAGCCCATGCATACTCAATATAAGAAAATTAAGGGGGAAAAAAAAGAATACTAAGAGGATACATGAATTAGATAGAAAAATACTTGGTGGTATCTCGATACATTTCATTCCAGTAATTTGTTCTCTACAGCCTTGTCTCATTCCAGAGTGAATTTCCCTTTAGTTTTTGCAGAGTGGCTGTTCCAAAGATCATGCAGAGACAGCCTCTTCCCTTTATCCTGAGGACCTGGTTTTGCTGGGTATAAGTGAGGAATTTGGAGCTTACAGGCATCTCTTTTTCCCATTTTATCTGGTCCAACCCCTTGGTGCTCCATTCACCCTGTATCCTTATTTATCCCACCACTGGTGGGGTGCCTGGGTGGCTCAGTGAGTTATCCCACCACTGGAGAGTCCATGATTAACATTTTGCCAGTGTTGATTAACATTTTACCAGCCTTTAAAATACAGTATTTGCAACTTGCTGCTGTCACTTTTTAGTTCTGCTTTTTGTCACGTGTCTATATATATCAAATCTGTAGCCTGGGCTGTGTTCATCTATGGCAGTGGTTTTCAGCCTTGTTACGGAGAAGACCCAAAGGTTTGTGTGGAAGATCAGTGAATGGATCAGAGAAAAGTAGAGCTTCTTTGTTTGAGGGAGGTTTTAGAGCCTGTTTTTATCCTTCCAACAACTCTAAGGCCTTTTTCTGAACCATATCTAAGCACAGTTTGGCAAATCCTGGACTTAACAGCTTCTAGAGTTATACTGCATTATCATCTAGTATCAAGGAAGGGGGCTTAAATCTCTTTGTGCCAATCTCTAGGTATTTCTTGTGCACCTGCTGGATGCTGTCATTCTACTACAGGGATACAGAAAAAGCATATGAATCTACCCTCAGATTTTCATTTGGGGGTCCCTGGATGGCTTAATCGGTTAAGCATCTGCCTTTGGCTCAGGTCATTATCCCAGGGTCCTGGGATCGAGACCCGCATCAAGATCTCTGCTCGGCAGGGAGTTTGCTTCTCCCTTTCCCTCTGTTCCCTCCCTGTTTGTGTGCTCTCTCTCTCTCATGCTCTCTCTCTCAAATAAATAAACAAAATCTTAAAAAAAGATTTTATCATTTGATCCATTTTCTTTCCAGATCTAGTATACAGTTGTGAAGCTGGAAGACAGAAGTCTCGTTTCCTTCCATTTGTTATCTGTACCAACAAATCGGCCATCAGAATTCTGCATTTTATCCAACTGCAGAGTCTGCAATGGGCCAGCAGGGAAATAAGGGAAATAAGTATATGGGGTTGGCTGTTCTTTTATGACATCCTCTGGCATTTTACCCTGGCTGTGTTCCTATCGGCACTTTATCCAGGATCTCAGTTCAGATTGTGTGTCTTCTGGGAGCCAGGGGTAAGGAAAACGAGAAAGCTGGAGAGCACCTCTTCCATTCCTTTTGGGGAGCTGAGTGGGGGAGTTGGAGCCTGCAGCAGCACTGAGCCCTTCCTCCTGTAGTCTCTTTTTAATGGAGGCTGGAAGGAAGAGTATCCTGTGACACTGAGGCTGATTCCAATTCTGAAGTGGGACATGCCCCAGAGCCCAGCAGGACCCTTCTGCCTTCAGCGTGTGGCCAGGAGAGCCCTAGTGCTTGCAGGAATTGATCACTTCTCTCTGGGGCTTCACTGCTTGAGAGAATGAAGTACGGTATCCAGATTCCTCCAAATAAATGTACTACCCCTGATGGAAGTTCCCACTCCCTGGGCCCTTCCCTTGACCAAAGATTGTCTATGTTTGTTTTTGACTATCAATTACTTTAGCCTCAGGCTCCAAGGCTCTCTTACTCCATTAAATTATTCTCCCTTGTTCCTTCCCTCTCTTCCAGTGGTTCAAGATGTATTTGTTGGGCACCTTCTGTTTGTTGCTTACCTCTCCCTTCCATCTCCAATCTAGGAGTCCTTGGTATCTCCTTATTACATGTGGCCCATGGTATTTATTAGTTGTCTTGTGTGATGGTCTTATCTAGCTTTCTTGAAAATGCAGAGTACATCTCCTACTCTACTCGCAGGCCCCAGAGATCCTGGGGCTAAATTCACCACATGCTAGGAATGCTAGAAATATCTGTGGGACTGACTCCAACCTCTAGTGCCCACAAAAGCAATGGTTGTCAGACTGGCAGGACTCCCTCAGACACAGGAAGACTAATTATTTTGCTCTACTTTCGGCAGCTGAAACCAACAGCTTTCCCAACACATCTTACTAAACTGGATCACTGCACAAATCTGATTCCCCACTTAATGTTGGCTGATCGCTAACATATGTGTCACTGGTTTTGGTCCCAAAACTCCATCGTTGCTGCCATGTAGGTAGTTTCAACATGAGTGAGCAAATAATCATTTTATGATCATTCAAGTTGGTGCACCAAGGGGCACAGCAACCAGTTGGGAGAATGAACAAACAAGCATTCATCAAGATAGTCAACATTAGAATAATGTAGACTCAGCAGTAGGCTTGTGGTTTTTCATGATATCACAGCTGTGCACTGGGGATGTGGGCACCCACAAGAAATGCATGTTTATCAACTGTTTTCATTCCCATAAGTTGGAAGCAGAAGTTTTCAAGTTGTCCTTTGCAATGTATGTTTAGCTTTTCTCCTGGAGTTAATCTCAAATATTTCCCTTCCTAGAGACTCGTAAATGAACACACCAGATTTATATCTTCAAAGTGGACACTGACCACTCACCAAATGGAAAATTTTCCCTTTGAAATCTGGGTCCAGAGGAATGTTGCTTTTCTGGATTACAGCCCATCTTATTCTGTGTGTTTGGTGCCTTGTGGTTGTATAGAATCGTGGTGTCCTCCCTCAAAGAGCTACATTCTCATTGAGAGCTGGCCCACACATGTGTAAAATCATTAGCTAAAACCAGAAAGGGCCAAGTGCCCAAAATGCTGTGGTACTACTGAGAATTAAAAAAAGGAGCTAGGGGGCACCTGGGTGGCTCAGGGGTTAAGCCTCTGCCTTCGGCTCAGGTCATGATCTCAGGGTCCTGGGATCAAGCCCCGCATCGGGCTCTCTGCTCAGTGGGGAGCCTGCTTACCCCCCTTCTCTCTCTCTGCCTTCTTCTCTGCCTACTTGTGATCTCTGTCTCTGCCAAATAAATAAATAAAATCTTAAAAAAAAAAGGAGCTAGAAGTTCAGCCCAGTGACATATCCTCGTTGACTTACCTGGGAGAAGAAGGCTTCCTTCACTGAGCTCCTACTTAGTAAACTTAGCCTCATTTAATTGTAATCATGAACTTTTCAGTTCATTTTGATGTTGACAACAACCCTAGCAGGTAGTATTACTCATCTCCATTTTTACGGATGAAGAAACTGAGACTCAAGATGGGGAGAGGCAAAGCTGGGATTGGAACACAAGTCTGGCTGACTCAGAGCATGCTTTAGCTGTCATCTCATGGTATCAGCTGGACAAGACGGGGCTGACAGGTCTAAGTCAAATGCCAGAGGTTAATTCCAGAGAATTCAGCTAAGGTAGGAAGGAATAAACAGGTACCCCCTGGAATAATGCAGGTGGAAGATATTAGGAATCCAGGCAAGGGGCTCCTGGGTGGCTCAGTCGGTTGAGTGTCTGACTCTTGATTTCAGCTCAGATCATGATCTCGGGGTGGTGAGATGGAGCCCCACATCAGGCTCGACACTCAGTGCAGAGTCTGCTTGAGATTCTCTCTCTCCCTCTGCCCCTCTCCCCACTCATACTCTCTTTCTAAAATAAATAAATAAAATCTTTTTTTAAAAAAGGAATTCAGGCAAGAAAACCACAGGGTTGGGGCCCAAGTTTAAAAAAAAATGTGGATACCAGCGGGTAAGAAGCCAGGTAGAGGTTTTGGTGTCAAACAGAACCAAGGCCCCAGGAGTGAGGCAGGTGCCTAGTACTGAGCCAGTCTGTTGTCTTTGTCTTAACTCATCCCTGTTACCCAGCTGAGTGATAACGCCTAGCACATTTGCCTGGGATATTTTAAAATGGTGATCAGGATTCCTGGAAGAAATAGACACTCTACCTGAAAGGTAGAACTGAGTGGCATGAACTGAGTGGCATGAAGGATATATTTAAAGGATGTAAGCATGATTCAGAGGAACAGCAATGGATTGCCAAGCAACTAACACAAGAGCTTTGGCTTCCCCTAGGCCCAAAGGGGAAAGAAATAATGGTGATACTGGAACTGGATACTGGTCAGATCTGGAGCCACGGAGTAGGGGCTGCTCAATGAAAACTTGTAGATAAATGTGGCCATTGTCAGAAATATGGCCAGGGAGGGATTGCATGGGGGAAATAAACAACCTGTGTTCTTTCTGCTCCTGTTCTTTGATCATCTGCCTGTGTCTCCCAGTAAGGAGACACAAGGAAAGGGAGCGTCAGCGACACTGTCCATAAAGGTCAGCCTCCGAAGGCACAGATCTGGGGAAGGTGGAGCGTAGATCTTCAGGGCAAACAAGAATAGCTGTTTCCTTCAGGAATAAAATGTTGACGACTTAGTAAGCTGTTCCCAGTTTAGTTCACTCTAGACTTACACTTTTATATCAATAGACTATCTCCTACCACCACAATAAGAATGAAAACGCATCAAAATTCTATGGAGCATTTTCCTAATAAGAATTTGACAAAAGCTTATTTCCCCCAATAATGCAAAAGATTGAGTTTCGAATGTGTGGCACGCTTTCCTCAAATTATTAAATATCCATGGCTGGCTTTAAAACATGCACGTGGGAAGGTAGGAGTCAACCTTGTATGGACCCGTCCAGATTTCTGGGCTTTCAGGTCATCTCTTTGCTCCATACCCAGCACATAACCCACTCTTGATGACAGATTTTAAAAGATCTGTTCCCACCGTAAAAGTGGACTCTGTGCACCATGGAAGCTCAACTTCAATCGTGTGAATGATTGTTAATTCCCCTGGCAAAACAATGGTCTCAGTAGCAAGTATGGAGAAGAAGTGAAGACACAGGGGTGGTGCCGTGGAAACTGCTTCTGCTCTGTTGACCAATAGCCAGCATCCTTTCCTAGGCAGAGCCGTATTTTAAAAAAAGCCCCAGGCTTTCCCAATACAGAGAGCCACACCAGGCTGCTCGGGTTCTGGTCTATTCTGAGGAAGTCCCAAGGCCTGGCATGATTCCCTGATGGTAACCCTTCAGCGGCCAGCCAGCTAAGTCCTATCTTAGTACATCTTTGTACCCTGGGAAGATGAAGTTGCACCCCATTGTGTATCCCATCTCTTCAGGCTTGATCCCTTTAGTTTCAGCACGGGTCTGGTTAAAACATCGATCCTTCTGGGGGCGGTTTGGGGGGGGTGGTCCGCCTGCGCTGTCACCAGCTCCATACACCTGAGTGTGGAGGAAAGCTCTAAGAGAATGGTTCTCACAGGGCAAAGGGAGTGGACAAGGAGCCAGAGGTGGGCAGCATACTTAGTTTTTCTTCCTGGGGAGCTTGTCAGGGTAGGTCGGAGTCCTGTGGCTGATGTGATCCCTTCTTTTCTCTTGGAACAGGGCCAGCCCGGACAGCCAGGGCCCAGGGGCCCACCTGGCCTGGATGGCTGTAATGGCACTCAAGGAGCTGTTGGATATCCAGGCCCTGAGGGCTATCCTGGGCTTCTCGGACTACCCGTATGTTGCTGAATCTTTGTCGGTTATTTCAAATGGTTTTTTTTTTTTTTGCCTTTCCCTGCTTTTATGGAGACCTCATTAAGCATCTGCATCTAAAGAGGTACACATGCTCCACTTCTCAGAGGGTTTTTTTTTCCTCTTCTTCAAATGATGCTTTTAGAGCTGGCAAGACTGTGAAGAGCCTCTAGTACATTTCAGAGCAAAGTACACACTTGGGCTATTTGATTTGTTCCCACATCAGATGACACTGGAAAATGCAGTATTTGGAAGGTTTACGTGAGATCATGGGAGCTCTGATAATGACCCAAAGGGCTTGGCAGGCTTGGTCTAAACCAGTGATTCTTGACCAGGGATGATTTCCCACCCCAAGGAACATTTGACAGTTACTAGTGACATTTTTGGTTGTCACCACTCAGAGTACACTACTAGCACAAGACAGCTTTCCTCCAACATCAAGGAGTCCTCTGTCCCAAAAGTGTCTGTAGTGAGAAAGAATTGAGAAATCCTACTCTACACTGACATAGTTTGCCCCCTTCCCCCTCCCCACCCAAGCCATAACCCTTTGTCCCAGGATTGATAGAGCATTTTTTTAGATCCTGCTGTCACCACTTTTATTTAATTCTATTCGTCCAGATAGGGATCCAATATTTGGATCTAAAGGATCTCTAATAGATACGGTGCCCTTGCGAGGTTGTTTTTACAAACAACTGGGAAGAGGAAAATAACACATTCAAGCCCGTTATCAACCTTACTTGAAATAATCTAAGCTACTAAGGGTACTCAGGTGATAGATTTAGCTAGAAATCATACTATTATACAGATTCTGTAGCTACATGAATTAATTGGCTTTTTTTTTCAGTATGTCTTATTCCAGTGCTATCCCACATTCTTTTTTTTTGTTGTTATCATTAAAGTATAATTGACATATAACATTATATTAGTTTCAGGCATACAACATAATGATCTGATATTTGTATACATTGCAAAATGATCACCACACTAAGTCTAGTTACCATCTGTCACCATACAGAGGGACAATTTTTTTTTTTTTTTATGGTGAGAACCTTCAAGGTCTCCTCTCTTAGCAACTTTCAGGTATGCAATACAATACTATTTACCCTAGGGGTACCCAGCTGGCTCAGTCAGCAAAAAATGCAACTCAACTCATAATCTCACGGTTTGAGCCCCACATTAGGATATAGATATTACATAAAAATGAAATCCTTAAAAATACATTATTTACTATAGTCACCGTGCTGTACATGACATCCCCATGACTTCCTTATTTTGTAACTGGAAGTTTCTGCCTCTTGATTCCCTTCACCCATTTTGCCCATCCCCTTCCCAGTCTCCCCTCTGGTAACCACCAATCTGTTCTCTCTGTCCCCAAGATTTGTTTTGTTTTGCTTGTTCATTTATTTTGGTTTTACTTTTGATTCCACACATCAGTGAAATCATATAGTATTTTTCTTTCTCTGTCTGACTTATTTCACTTAGCACAATGCCCTCAAGCTCCATCCATGTTGTCGCAAATGGCAGGATTTCCTTCTTTTTTTTTTTTGGCTTTATTAAGGGCTGAGTAGTATTCCAGTGTGTGTGTGTGTGTGTGTGTGTGTGTGTGTGTGTGTGAGACATCATCTTTATCTATTCATCCATCAATAGACACTTAGGTTATTTCCATACCGGGATATTTATACCAAGAAAACAAAAACACTAATTCAAAAAGATATATGCCCCCTATGTTCATTGAAGCATTATTTAGTTAGTATTTTATTGGAAGAGCATCACCAGTGCCTTCAGTGACAAAGTTGTGGGTGTGGGTATCTGCATAAGAGAGACAGACAAAACACAGGTCTCATATCGGCATAAAGGACCTTGATATCTAAAGACCGAACCAAAATGCAGCGGGGGTGGGGGGGGTGGAGAAAGACGTATTACCTACATAGTATGAGCTTGTTTGGGTCACAAAGGGCTCCAAATACTGCCATGGCAACAGAAGAGGAGAGCAAATCACATCTGTTAAGAGAATGGAAATCCAGCAAAGTGAGGAAATGCTGCCCCCAAGAGGGAGACAAGAAATCTTGAGGTAATAAACATTCCGACAGCATAAAGGACAAGGGTAAAACCTAATTCTGTCCCTAAGCCTCCCCTTAAGCCTAAATAGGAACTTGGGCGTAGATTTTATTAAGCTGAACCCTTACTAACCCTGCTGAATTGTGAGTGGATATTCTGTCAAGCTTCTTTGATGAAAGGAGCGGCCATAAGAATAAGGGGAAACAGGAAACGTTAGGAAAGAAGGTGCTTTGGGGACCCACTGATTCTTCCATCACACCTATGATCTGTGAATTCAAGGAATCCATAATTCAGCCAACTTCTTCAGTTCCCGAAGCTTACTCCTATCTCTCATACTAATCCTGACTTCCCCTTAGATATAGGGACGTTGATTTTCCCCACGAGGACAAATTTTAGCAGATGTTAGCCAGCGTCTGCCACTGAGACGGTAAAAAGTCTGGTTTGGTAGTCAGGTTCGGTGTACTTTGACCTGTCTTCCATGTTAACACCTCTTAGGCCTTGAAGCTGAGGTTTTGTGGCAGAAGCACAAGATGGAGATGGTTTTGTAGACATCTTTTAACCCGGAGGGTCACAAACTGGCCTGTGTGACCCATGACCGCGGCTTGGTTTGATATTTTTAAAGGTTTGTGTGGAACAAGAGAAGCAGAATACAGGACAGAGCCCAGAGAAGGCCCACAAAGCTTAAATTCTTTGCTATCTGCCTCTTTACCGAACTTCTTTAAGCTCAGTCGTGGCTGGGGGCCGTGTCACTGACATAGCTGTGAGGGGTGGAGCAGATGAGCGGGAGGCTTCCCAGTGACACGTGTGTTATATATGGATGTTCCAGTCAGTGTTCTGAACAGAGTCAAAGTCCCCTACTTCCTTTACAAACTCCTGACTTGGGAGTTGGGGAGACAGCCATATAATTTTGAGACTCAGCACCCATTTGGGGGATGTTCTTTGCCCCTTAGCACAGCCATAGAATAAACCACATGGTTCCAGCCTCTCGACATTGGGTCCTCTATGTGATCAGATCATACTGTTTAAAACTCTGTGTGTGTGCACGCATTTCTTCACAAGTGTTTCTTATTTTATTCAGGGGCTTCCTGGGCGGAAAGGCTCTAAAGGCGAACCTGTCTTTGACCAAAGTACTTTCAAGGGAATGAAGGTAAGAGCCTCTGAGGCAGGCAGCTAAGTAGGCTGGCTATAAGTTGAGTTCCCTGGGACTGGGCCCAGCTCCAACAAGACCGTTCCGAGAACTAGCATCTGTGTCTCTATTTAAGGAGCAGACCAAGCTAGATTTAAAAGGGATCTGGAGCTTTTTGGTGGTGGAAACACTGGCAGAAATGTTTGCAGCCATACTGTCAAAGAGATTTGCTTTATAGGATCTACACCCAAAATAAGAGACAGATTAGCAAACAAACAGTTTGCATGGGTATCATTTTCCTTGACAAGCCAAAACATTTCCTGAAGGCAGATACCTTTTGTTTACCCTACAATCCTTGATGTCTGCATACCTTGGTATGAAGCCATGTTATGTCTCTGCCCATCTCAACATGGCCACCGGCCCAGGATGCTGGCTCCGCCCTTTTCTGTACCTGCACGCCAACCCGTTACCCTCACCAGGCCCCTGACTGTCTGCAAAAATTGTCCATCAACTCTGCAGCTGGCTGGAAACCTCCATCTTTTCCTAGAATTGACCAGAACCTTCTGTATTCTTGTGACTGTACTCTTGGTGTATGCTACCTGGAAACTCTGGTGCCCAAATGATTGACCCCTTGCAGAGTGGGAGGTGAGCTTGGTATTATTCCCTTGGTAGCAGGTGGGAATCGATGTGCCCAGCATCTGAAGGAAAGGTGCACACATGTTCACTCAGCTGAGGTTGGCACCTTTCTGTCTTCCATCCATGCACAGAACCAGAAACACTACAAATCCATTTGGAAGGTGGTGATTGGGGCGGGTGGCTAAGAACTGGAGAAGGTTCAGGGTTTGGGCTCTTGGCTTAGATGTCATGGCCAAAGGTCGAATGGTAGGCTTCGAAGGGAGCTCATGATTATCGGATTCGTGTTGCTCATTTTACAGGTAGAAAAACTGAGGTACACTGGGGCTATGTGACTTGCTTAGACTCACATAGCCCATTTACCAGAGAGCTAAAACCCAGGCAGTGCTCTTTCCATGCAGCAGAGAGCTGATTTTTTTTTTTTTTTTTTTTGGACCATAAGCCAAACAGGATAAGACTAGCAGGTGTCAAAATATAGCCATTGTCACAGAAAGCTTTGATTAAATGGCTTTGCCAAAAATCACGGAGACCCTGGACCCTGTGGAACACAGCAATTTCCACAAGATGGTTATATTACAGATTCATACAGTGACTTAAGATGCTGCAAAGTAATTAAAACGTAATCAGAGACTGTATGCTCTGTTGATTCTCCCTTGAAATGTCTGATTTGCATTGTCTTGATTTGCATTGTATACATATGGGAACAGATTCTCTGGGGATGAAGGCACACGGGAAGGTAGCTTTGCTCTCTTCCAAAAAGAGCAGGAGAATCACCAGCCCACAGAAGCAGTTTCTAATTGATAAGTTCCTAGCAAAGGTGAAAATTAATTACTCCAAGTAAAATATAAAATCCTGTTCAACCAAGGCTATAATATGTGTCTTCTGGAGTCCGGATTTTTCTTAGGAACAAAAAAAAGTAAGTGGTTGAATATGCCCAATTCATGCATTGTTTAAAACACAAAGACCTTGACAGAGGAGACCCGAGCCATCAGCAATGTATTTTTCTGCTCTTGAAGCGTAGGTCCGTTATCTACAAAATAATAGCGCAGGCTTAATTAATCTCTTCAGTGTCCTGCCTTTGTCTGTTTCTCAGGGGGAGCCTGGGCTGCCTGGACTGGATGGAATCACTGTAAGTTGTCATTTCTGGGTGGAGTGCTCAATGTTTGGTCGGCAGTCACTGCGGGTCCCTTTGCATTCTTTTTTGCCATGGCATTCGAAGGTCTTTGTAGACATTCTCAAGGAATATCCAGACAGTTGAGGTAGAATGGGTCACGCGGTTTCCAGGTGATAAAGTTCTGAGAGAGTCGTCTGTCCGCTTCAAGTTACACAGGGAGCAGCCTTCCAGACCCTTAGGCCAGGGACCTGCATACTCCCAGTGATGCATTAAGAAAGAATTTCGCCTTTTGTTCAACAAGCATCTACTAACTGTTCTCTGTGTGTTCATAATGCTGAGGGTTGAAACAAAAAAAGTGGAACACTCTTCTGTGAAAGCTATTCTATCTAGAACTTCGTTTTAGGAACTGTTAATAATTGGGAGTCCATGTGAGGCCATGAGTTGTATTAGTAAGAACTTTCTGGGGCACCTGAGTGGCTCAGTTGGTTAAGTGGCTACCTTCAGCACAGGTCATGATCCCAGGGTCCTGGGATCGAGCCCCGCATCAGGCTCTCTGCTCAGCAGGGAGCCTGCTTCCTTCTCTCTCTCTCTACCTGCCTCTCTGCCTATTTGTGATCTCTGTCAAATAAATAAATAAAATCTTAAAAAAAAATAAGAACTTTCTGTTTCCTTGAATTGCCACATCATCATTGCTTTCCTTTGAAGTGGCCTCAGAAAAGCCCTTTCTTTCTTTCTTCTTTGCTATGTCAGGGTTCCTGCCTTTCTTCTTTCATTCCAGAACCACCATTGAGCTCCTACTAGCCTCAAGGTGCTATGAATGATCCCCAAGACAGTGCAGACAGGGTCTCTGCCCACCCCCAACCCCCTCCGAAACACACACCAAGATGTGAAAAACTAGTAGGACCATGGCATAAAAATTTCTCACCAGCTTGGAAGAAGAGATGCTGTCTGCCTAAAGGTACATCATGGGAGACTTTATATCTAAGATGGAGAAGGTAGCCTCTGAGAACTATGGGTGATGTTTGGACTGGCCCGCATTGGGAAGAAGTTTCTAAACAGAGAGAGCGGTGTGGGAAGATGTAGGCAAGAAACAGGACGTGTGTAAACACGCTCACGAGCAGAGGTGAGTGAAGACTGGGGACATATGGGTCAAAGCAGGATTCTGTTTCCTTAGGACCCTCTGAACCCCTACTTTCTCATGACTTCGATTAGCCTCTCCATCACTTACCTATCACCTCATTACCACCCCTCCATTTTTATCGGGCCATCTATTTCCCCATACCGTCTTTCTCTTAGATTTTATCATCTTGCTTGTAATACTGTCATTAACCACCCAGTTTCAGATAGTTTCTCATTTCCCATCTGCATTTCTCTTTGACCCACGGAAATGTGCGTTGTTTAATTTCCCGATATTTGGCAGCTTCCCAGCTATCTTTCTATGGTTGATTTCTACTTTGATCTCAGTGCAGTTTGAGTGAACACTCTGGAAAATTTCAATCCTTTTAAATCGGTTGAGGTTTGTCTCGTGGCTCAGCATACGAAACTGTCTCATTGAGTGTGCCATATGTTCTTAAAGAGAATGTGTTCAGCTGCTCTGGGGTATAATGATCTAAAAAATGTCCATCGGTTCTGGGTAGTTGACAGTGTTGTTTATATCTTCTGTGTTCCTACTGATCTTTTAAATCTAGTTCTAGTAATTACTGAGGGAGGGATGTTAAAATTCTCCAACTATACTTGCGGATTTGTTTCACTTCATCAGATTGTGTTTCATGTCTAAGATTGTTACGTGTTCTTGATGAACTGACTTAGTTTATCATGACAAAATTACCCCCTCTTCATTTCTGGTAATATTCTTTGTCCCAAGGTCTACTTTATTTGATGTTAATGTAAGTTTTTTTGCTTTCTTTTGAAGTTTTTGTTTTTTACATCACTTTAAAAAATGTTCAAATATAGAGCAACAGGGAGTGAATTTTGCTGCAAACACCCATACCATTAATGTTTTACTATACTTGCTTTATCCCACTTCTATCCATCTATCCATCTCTATCCATCCATCAATCCATCTTATGGTTGATGCATTTCAAAGTAAATTACAGACAATAGTGCTCTTATCTCTAAATACTACAGCATGCCTATCATTAGCTAGATTTCAATATATCTTTGCGGTTTTTCTTTTTATGTCAAAGTTAAAATAAACAAATCCTAAATGGTACATTTGCTGAGTTTTGACAAAGACGTATGCCTGTGTAACCCAAACCCATCTTAAGGTATAGAACATTCTCTTCTCCTCAGTAAGTTCCCTTCTGCCCCTTCCTAGTCAATCCCTGTCCCCACACAAAGGAAACCACTGTCCTGATTTCTCTCCATCATAGTTCAGTTTTTCCCATTCTAGAACTTTATATAAAGAAAATAGTATAATATGTAGCCTTTGGGGGTCTGACTTCTTTTACTTAGCACAATGCTTTTGAGATTCACCCATACTGTAACATATCAGTAGGTTGTTACTTTTCATTGGTGAGTATTTATTCCACTGTATAGATGATTCGGTTATTTATCAGTCCTCACATCAATGGACACCTGGGACATTTCCAATTGTTTACTACTATGAATAAAGTTGCTATGAACATTCTTGTGTAACTCTTGTGGATGCGTATTTCCAATTTTCTTGAGAAACTGTCTTTTTTTTCTGACTTTCATAAAAACTTGCCTCTCTAGGGTCCACCAGGAACACCTGGTTCCCCAGGAGCTGTAGGACCCATGGGACCACCAGGATTGCAAGTAAGACCAATGTAAATCGACCATGTGATCACAGTATTCCCATGAATGCTTTCCCCACCAGGCCATGCATTAAATATAAGCCTGTGTAGGCTATCATAGTGGAAAAAGGCAACCTCCATTCTTGGAGGATTCAAGTGAAGCATGCTCTTGTAAGGAATGGTTGTCTTTATCAGAGTCCTTCCGGCTCTGCACCCGGGGACAGCAGCTGCCTGGCACACCTATTTCCACCTTCCACCCCCTCACCCATGACAGACCCTGCTAATTAATCACACCATCCCCACAATCACCCACCCTGAACACAGAAGTAGCTTCGAAATCCTTCTCCACACCCCACCTTGGGCAGAGCTACCTACCTACCTACCTATCTTTTCGGATACTAAACCTATTTGCCCTCACCAGTATAGAAAGAACATAGCCAGTTATCCCCATGTAGTTTTGGGAGAGACCTGTTTCCAGAATGTTCTCTCTCCGGTGCATGAAATCTCACCACTGATTACTTTGGTTTAGCTTTCCCCAAGACCACTATTTTTTTAAATGTCTAGCCTACTGGGAGGAATGATGCACGAGTCTTCCCCACCTTAGCACAAATGTGGTTATCAGTGCAATGTGGGAGATTTCAAAGAAGATTTTTTTAAAGGGGGGGGGCACCATGGGAGAGAGAGCTAGGATCTGCTGCGCTAAAGCCAGAATATATTGAGGGAGTGGGAGACTCATTTCCAGTGACTCTCCACATACCCAGGTTCTTTTTGTCTGAAACTAACAAGTGCTCCTTCCTCTCATTTTTAATATAGGGTCCTCCAGGCCCCCCAGGCTTCCCTGGTCCTGATGTGAGTATATTTTCTTGGGGCATGTGGCCTCCTACCACTAAGTGTTCTGGTTTCCCCAGAGAGACTCTGGTTTGTTTAAACACACTTTCTGGCAAAAGACTGCATTCTAATTTAAGTTCTTGGAGCTTGTTTAGTAATTGATTTTGTTTTTCCTCCCTGCAATGCTGTGCCCCAGGGGAATATGGGGTTAGGTTTCCAAGGAGAGAAAGGAGTCAAGGTAAATAGATTTTGGAAAATACAATCTGCATTCCATATGCTCCCAGTACCATCTCTAGCTGCACACATGTGCCTGCTCGGTTTAAGGGGAATTGGATCTTTGCCTCGGGAAATGAGTACTTCCCATTCCATGTGGGTCCCAGAGTGGGATTCCAGGAGGGGCTGCGAGTACGCAGGGGTGCTTTTTTCTTCCTGGGGTCTTTTTTCTCCCAAATACTGTAGTCTCCCTGCTTCTGACCTGTGAAGCGTACATGTCTTAGAAACGCACTTGGTTGAAATTGCTTCCCTCCTCCTTCCACCTGGGTATTACCCTGATGTTCTGTATATTGTGTCACCTTCCTTTTCCTTTTCTTTGCTTCTCCTCTTTCCTCCATCCTTCCTTTTCCTCCTCTTCCTTCTCCTCCTGTCTCTCTATGCCCTCTATCTCTTCCTCAACCTCTCACCATTCTTTTCTACATCCCTTCCCTCATTCCCCTGTTTCTGTCTGCATAAGCCATAGAGTGATTTTGGGAAGCTTGAGGGAGCCTGGGAGCTTGGCCTCTTCACCCCTCACGGCTGCCTTTTTTAGATCACACTGCCTCCAAGGAGCAAATCCAACCTCCAGTGTTCTAACTCAGACTTCACTGCCTCTGCTCATGCTCTTGGCAAGGACTGCACCAATTAGAGTCTGATCACCATTGCCAAGAGGTGGCCATTTTCCTTGCTCAAAGGCCCTTTTTTTTTTCCCTCTCTCTCTCTCTTCTAAATACCCTTTGATGCATGACCCTGGCAACCACGAACCTGTGGTTTCCCTTCATCCATCTGGCTTTTTCCCTCTGGTACAAAATGCATTTGGCCAGGCTTATAATTCTTCCTACCCCTTTGGTACCGAGAGTTTTGTTTCCTCGGTGAGGCAAGGGTGAGGGTAAAAAGACCAAAGGAATGGACAGTCTATTTGTGAATGACATCCAGAGGACAAACCTTTTTGCTTTGCTTAACATTCCCTTTGATCTTACAGGGGGATGTTGGCCTCCCAGGCCCTGCAGGACCCCCACCATCTACTGGGGAGCTGGAATTTATGGGATTTCCCAAAGGGAAAAAAGGATCCAAGGTAGTGAACATTTAAGCCTAGGAAATGCTAACCACCCTTTTCCTATTAATACCAAAGTTCAACTCTAATAACCAGACTCTACTGAAAGAAAAGAGGGTTCTGGGTCATGCTTTTTTGTTTGGAAGTGAGGGTAAAACCTTCTTTGTGTTATCCCCTGTGGAAAACTTTCTAAAAAGTCTGTGTTTGCATGTGTGGATATGAGTGTGCCTGGGCTTCTGAGCATTTGTTTAAGTCATATTTTCTGTGGTTTGGTTTCTCAGATTCAATTACCAAGATGCTAAATAACTTAAAACAAATGTTAAGTACTTGGGCTTTTTTTTCCTCCTAATTCCCAACACTCTCAATACTTATCTTGTCCCCAAAGCGCTGTGACAGGACACATAGGGTATACTGGTTACTTTACCTTTTTAAAGAAGTTATTGCCTGTAAAACTTGACCCTACAAGTCAGGTATACTGTCACCAAGTGGCAGTAGATTCCCTAATTCGCCTGATATGAACTACTGTGGCTGAAGCTGTGGACCTGTTTAACTGAGATACATTATAATCTCTATTTTGTTGTGAGTGAGTGTAAATCTGGTAATTTTCAAATGCCTGTATGCTGTTAAGGTGATAGATACCTTTCAGTATCCTGCATTCCCTTCCATTGTAGGGTTCCCTTAAGTTTTGTGATTCTGTGCCTATGATCAAGGGACCCAGGTGGGGGAAGGTGTTTACTCCCATTTCTTTAATTTTGTCTTTGTGAAAGCAATAGCTCCAGGCCCTCTTCAGGTTTACAGAAAGTAATCATTAATTTGGAAACAGTTTGGGAGCTTATGAAAGATTACCTGTCTCCCTGATCATTCCCAGACCTTAAGGACCCCTTCCGTGACACAACTAGGTAAATTAGCATATTGGGGAAAGACAGATTACAGTGTTACGGGTTCCCATCCAAACTGTAATTGTTACTCTTTTCCCCAAACTGTTGCTTTCTTTGCGGCCTGGAATTTGCAACAGGGAATCACACTGAATGGCTCCTGTCTCTAGAAAGAGAGCAGATGATCATCTTTTCCATCTCCCAATTAGCTTCAACATTTGAGATTCTGTTTTAGACAGTTTTCATTCCCTGCTATGGGTCTTGGTCCTTCCCATACCACAGGGGCTTCCCAAACTGATAACCTGGTACAGCTATTAGTTGGGGATCCTGGGTAATCTATACTATCTGACACCCTCTTTGTTGCCCACTGCTGAGCCCAAGCAACTCATGGGATCCATATCCTTTATGTTCACTGTTTCCTGCTGCTACTCACTAATCTTTGGTTCATTTTCCAGGGTGAACCAGGGCTTCCAGGTTTCCCGGGAATAAGTGGCCCTCCGGGTCTCCCGGTAAGTCTCCCCATTTGGTCAACATGTATTCAAAGACCTGCTTGGACAAAAGCTATAGCAATAGAAAGCTAACAGGAAGCTAACCTCTTCCTGTGATTATTGGAGAGCATTCTACCATCTTCTTTATTAGAAGGCCTTTAAGGAAATGTTCTTGTTTCTCAAACCCATGGGGACATTAGCATGGTTCTCCACTAGGATATATATCTTAGCAGTTATTAGCTCAAGTTGTAAATTGAAAACAGACCTAGGCTTGACTCCTGATTTCACCAATTTCTAGCTATGTGACCTTGGACAAGTTTCTCAACCTTCTTGAGTTCCAGCTTCCCTCAAAAAAAAAAAAAAAAAAAAAAAAAAAAAAAAAAAAAAAAAAGGAGGGGGGATGATAATGGCATAGTTATGAGGATTAAATGAGATAATATACATGGAAAGGACTTCATATGTGCCCGACATGTATCAGTTGTTCAGTAAATGGTAGTTAATCTTAGTAATCCTGTCTTCACTCTCCTATCTGCCCTTGTATCTTAGTGTCTTTCCCTCAACATGTACCTTTTGAGGGTGCCTAGGTCCCAGGCAGGTGGGTCTAGACATTCTGCTGCACCACAGTAAATAACAGTTAAAGAAGTAAAAGTTCTTCTCCTTGAAGAGCATTCATTCTAATGGGGGAGTGAGGCAAGTAGACGCAATAAACAAGCAAACAAATGAATCAAGAACAGGTTCATATTGTAAGAAGAGATACACAGAAAGTTAAAGAAAGACTAAAGTGTTGGAGTGTGGAGTGAGAATGGGGGTGAGCTACTTTGGGCAGAGCAGTCACAAAGGGCCTCTCTGAGGAAGTGCACATTGAAGAAGCAAGTCCCATGAGGAAAAGCTTTTTTGGCCTAAGGAACACCAAGACCCTTTTGAGCAACCCAGCAAGAAAACAAGCAGGTGGAGCACGGCGAGCAAGGGCCAGATCATGGAGCCCTCTGTAGGTCAAATGTGGCTTTTATGTTAAATAGAATGGGAAGCCATCAGAAGGCTCTAGCTTGCATTTTTATTAAAGATTTATTTACTTATTTTAAAGAGAGAGAGCACGAGCGGGGACAGGGGCAGAGGGAGAGAGAGAATCTCAAGCAGACTCCCTGCTGAGTGTGCAGTCCAAAGTGGGGCTTGATCTCAAGACTCTGAGATCATGACCTGAGCCAAAATGAAGAATCCGACGCCACACGGACTAAGCCACCCAGGGGTCCCTCTAACCCGCTTTTTTAAGATCACTCTGGTAGGGGTTGGAGGTGGGGTATGGAGGATGAGAGGAGGCTGAGGCAGCAAATAGAAGCTACTACATCAGCCCCGGGGAGAGATGCAGCCAGTTTGGACTATGGTGACAGCAGTGAAAATAAGAGAGAAGTGCGTGGAGTGAAAATGTAAAAAAAAAAAAAAAAAAAAATGTATACTTGTTATTATGGAGCATTTTAAACAAATGCCAAGAAGAGAGAATGGCATAATGATCCTGCTGCGTATTCATCACTTAGCTTTGACATTTAGCAACTAAGGCAAGCTGAAGCAAATAACAGACTTATTTCAACATAGAGGAATTCGGTATTTCTAGGAGATAAGAACTTTTATTTTATTTTATTTATTTGACAGACAGAGATCATAAGTAAGCAGAGAGGCAGGGAGAGAGAGAGGAGGGGAAGTGGGCTCCCTGCTGAGCAGAGAGCCCGATGTGGGGCTCGATCCCAGCACCCTGGGATCATGACCTGAGCCGAAGGCAGAGGCTTAACCCACTGAGCCACCCAGGTGCCCCGGAGATAAGAACTTTTTAAAAGCATAGTTATGAGGTACCTGGGTGGCTCAGTTAAGTGTCTGATTCTTCTTGGTTTCAGCTCAGGGTCAGATCTCAGGGTCGTGAGATTGAGCCCCATCCTTGCTCCCCCTTTCCCAGTTCGGGAAATTCCCTAGTTGTACAAGTGGGTCCAGCCACCTCCGCTGGCTCGGCTGAGGCCGTGGGGAGCCTGCTTGGGATCGGGGTGGGGGAGAAGCTTGGACAGAGGGCAGCTGCGTGATGACCTGCCTCTCAGGCGGCCATGCCTCTGAGGACCCGTGCCCAAAGCGGCCATCCCTGGGCCACGGGGCTGACATCCCCAGGCTCCAGACTAGCATTCGCAGCATGCCTGCTCCTTGTACCACCTGCTTTACCCCTACCTCAGTGACTACGTCACCCCCCATCCCCTTATTCCTGGCCACGTGACAAGTTGAATTTTTGCAGAGCCACTAATGTCCTTGAACCAAAAATAGCAGGAGACCAGGACCCTAGCCAACAGGCCTAGGAGCAGCTAAGCCAGTGCTCTAATGAGGCCATCCTGGACATGGGTAAGAAGGGGTTTGGGAGCAGTGGGCATAGGACCAACTGCTCCTGGCAAGGACTGACTGTGACAGTGGGGTCCCAGGACATCTTGCTAGAACAACTTGGTCAGCAGGGCCCTGTACGGTACCTCCCTGCACTGGTGGACAAGCTGCACCTACATACCAGTAACTTGCCAAGTCATGTCTGTCTCATTGGCTTTAACCGCCCCCACCCAACACACACATAAAGAAGTTTCTTTGATTTTTTTTTCCTTTTTAAACTTTTTAGTGTTTTATACACACACACACACACACACACACACACACACACATGGTAGCGAAAGCTCTCTGGGAAAGCAAGAGTCCAGAGACAGAAAGGTCTGCTTTTATTTATTTTTTAAATTTTTAAAAAAGATTTTATTTATTTATTTGCAAGTGAGAGAAAAAGAGAGAGAGTGTGTGTGTATGAGCAGGGGAGAGGCAGGCAGACGGAAAAGGAGAAGCAGACTCTCCTGCTGAGCAGGGAGCCCACCCTGGGACGCAATCCCAGGACACCGGGATCAGGATCACGACTTGAGTCGAAGGCAGACGCTTAATCGACTGAGCCGCCCAGACAGTCCTCCCTAACCCATGTCTTTCTGCTTTCTGAAGCAGGAGGACAAGGTCCTCTTGTCTTTGCAACTGTGGGCAAGACAGGTAGACAGCATGAGAGTTCCTGGACCTGTTTCACCTGTTGCTTTGTTCTCTAGGTCATTCTATTGAATTCAACAAGGATGTATGGAACGACCTTGTATATGTGTGGCATGCAGTAGCGTGTCTTAGAGGAGATGGAAGGGAGTGTGGTACAAACCTTCTGCTTACAGATTCCTACATAACCCATCTAAGTGCTGATAAGAGTCTGGGGCAATGTGGGCTGCCCCAGCTTCCTTGGACAGGTCAGAGAAGGCCGCACGGCACTTGGCTTTGGAGGCCCAGAGACGCATTCCACCAGATGGCAGCATGCCTTGGTTTCCAATTTGAGATGCAGCACTGCGCTTTCAAATAAGTTTGTGTTCAACTTGACCCATGGACCTTTCAAATAGAAATCCTATTCAGCATGAGGCCTGAGCCATAAGCCTTACAACTAGAGATGGAGGAAAAACAGAAAGACAAGTGGGAACCAAAGTCTGCTTTGAACTAGACCCTTTAAAGATGCACTCTCCACCTTCTGCCCCACAATGGAAACGCTACACACACACATACACACACACAGAGTGCCCTACATGAAAAAACAGTAACAATAGCTAAGAAAAAACCACTTGGGCCTAGAAAGCTAAGGGCTATTCAGCCAACTCCCAGTACCCATTGGAATGCTTTTAGTATATAAGAGGAAGAAAAAACAAGAAGCAGGATTCAGGCACTGGGTACACAGCCGGCTGAGCCACGAGACGTGCCAACAACATTTACTGTCTTTCACAAGCTTACATTCTAGAAAGTGTCATGGCTCCTTCCACTCTCACAATAGGCCTAAATGTTGTTTGCCAAAACCTATGCTCCGGAAATTCCACATTTAAACAATAACAGCAAAATGGCCTCAGCAAAGTCTGCTGTGAAAGACATTATCTACTTTGGTAGTGAACTCTTCTGTACCTCAAGGGCCCAGAATATGCTTGCCTTGGACCCAGAGGGAAGGAAGCTTTCTCACTCACTCTGCTTTTTTGATTTCTGCTTGTCCCTAGAGAACCCCCAGGTCATGTTCTTGGCTGCAAACCCTCACCTCCTGTGAGCAGGGCAAGAGGGGTTGAAGACCATGTCATAGTGCCTTTTGGAGTGCTGCTAGGGCCCGCAGGGGTCTAGACCACACCTAGATAGAAAGAATCCTTCCCACTGAAGAGGATGATGCAGCCATCATGCCTCCAAAGGACAAAGTGCTTCCCTCTGGTATTGACCCCTAAGGCTGAACACAGTTCTCAGGCCCTATAAGGGGCATCATAGCTATGTGGACTAACAAATGGGGATAATTAGATGTTTAATAATTTCTCTGCTGTTAGTCCATGTAGCTATGAAGACATGTAATCATGTTTAGGGGGACGAGACATTACTTCTAAAACCAAGAGGGAACTTTGAATGAGTGATCCAGACTCTTCCCCGGTCCTATAGGGGGCTTCTCAGGCAGTGACAAGAGACTCAGTGTGGTAAGCCTCCCCAGTGGGAAGGGCACTGATTCAAAGTTAACCTCCCTGCTTTGGATGGAGCCAGGAGACCTCTGAGGAAATGGATATTATACTTTTGGGTTCTTTTTTTTTTTTTTTTCCTTTAGGGATTTGGAACTGCTGGAGAAAAAGGAGAAAAGGGAATCCTTGGCTTCCCAGGACTTAGGGTATGAACCTAGAATGTTGCTTGCCTGGGTCTGTCAGGTTATCCGGTCCATTGGGACAATTTTTTTTGTCCTGTTCGCATCTTTATGTTGTATAAATTGATAGCCACCGAAGTTTCTCTTATTTCTCTTCCTCAACTCTCCACTAGGCCCCTGAGACCCCTCCTTTCACTTTGCCCCCATTTCCTGGACTTAATGGCTCTCTTGAATAAGGAATTCAGCCAATTTCCTTTCCTTGCCATCATAGAGAATTGTCTTCTGGATTAATCATGGGGTGAACTTGTCCTGACTTCACTACTTTCTCTCCTGGGGGAATGTAGGCTAGGGTGCGGATGTTGTAGTAATGGAAGAGGGCTGAGTATAATCTTTAAAGGATAGAAACAAGCCTGGAATGGTCTAGAACATAATGAGTGACATTTGCAGTCAATAATTTCCAGTAATAACCCCTCTTCAAGAGGAGGAAATAATTGTTAGCCTTTGTGATTCTAAGTGCTTTAGGCACTTAGCTATTCGGCTATAAGCAATTGGCCAGCCTTAGCCTTAAAGAGGTAACATTTAGAGAACTGTGATTTTGGCTTAGTCATAAACCTCATTAAGAATCTTTTGAGTGTTCAGCAATGTTTGCCCTTTACCCTGCCATTTATTTCTCTACTTTTCTCTACTCCCTTGTCTTGAAAAGACATAATCACCAGCAAAGAATGCAGTTGGGGTGAGAGACAAGAGGCCCTCCCACAATCTGTTTAAAAATGTCATGACTTGGAAATAATGCAGACTAAGTATAATACCACTCAGGCTTTCTACCAAATTCCACCCAGCACTTAAAATGCTTCCATTTATTTTGCTCTTTAAAAATGCTCTGTATGGCTATTCAGTCTGATGGATTAGTGCTTAGAAGTCATTAAGCCAGGTCTAGGGACATTCTCATACCTGATTTTAGAAGCTGGCTAAGTCCTGAACTCAGTGGGAAAGCTTTGTTATGTAAGTCTACTGGCTTTTTCTAATGTGGGTTATTAATCTTTCTAAGGTGGATCCCTTCTCTTCACAGGGTCCCGTGGGTTTGGAAGGATTCCAAGGCCCTCCAGGCAGTCAGGTATTTTGGTTATTATCACTAATCAAAAGGTCCCCTTGCTTTACTTAACATGGCCTCAGTCCAGAGGGAACCACTGCTTATGGTACAAATTGTCTACCTCCCTTTGATGGGTATAATCTCAGCTGCTCTCTTCTTTTGTCTTCACCCATGAGGCTGAATATCCAGGGTTGACCAATCCAGGGCCATTCCATGGTCCTACTGCTTCATTATGTTATCAGGGGCTAGCAAGGCCAGCCTGCTTGTATTGATCCCTAGCCTTGGGGCCCATATACCTCCTAACAGGCAAGTTGGCTACCTCAAGCCAAACTGCCTTCTGGAACATTCTACACCCTCCAGAGTTGGGTAGAATCCATGCATACCCTGAAAGGTCTGCCAAGATCCCTATGCTGTTTGCCCTGGCCTCATCCAAAGACCAGTCCCTCTTATGCTCTTAGACATTTGACTTAGTTCTAACTGTGTTTCTGTCACAGGGCAAGAAGGGGGCCTCAGGTTTCCCTGGGCTTAATGGATTCCCAGGAATGAAGGTAATGTTGTTGGGAAGTGAAAATCCAGGATAAGGGGCGGTGGAAGGGTGAAGAATTTCCATAAATGCTGTTTAGTCCATTTGGCCATTCTAAGAAAGTTTCACAGATGGGGTGGCTTATAAAAAAAAAAACAGAAAATTACTTATTCCTCGCTGGTCTGGAGGCCGGAAGGCCGAGATCAGGGTGCTAGCATGGTTGAGTGAGGGTCCCTTTCCGGTTACTGCTTCTCACTGTGTCCTCACATGGTGGAAGGGGCAAGCTAGCTCTCTCGGCCTGCTCTTCTAAAGGCACTAGTCCCAATTGTGGGGCCTCCATGCTTATGACCTGATCCCCTCCCAAAGGCCCCATCTCCTAATATCATCCCTTTGGGCATTTGGTTTTCAAAATGAATTGGGGGCAGGGGAGATGCAAACACCTGGACCATAGCAAATGCCTACCTATGAGATGAAGTATTCTTTCCATATTTTAACTTCTTAAATCTTACTCTTTCATGTGAAGTGCATGAACCCTACTTTGAGCACACAAAACCAGTGAGCCTTCCTTGGATACTGCTTAATCAGAAGTAGACTAAGAGCGGGGCGCGGGGGGAGGGTGGCACACGGGAGAGGGTTGCAGGAGCAAATCCATCTGTACAAGGAGGAATATTCTACTACTGACATTGCTTAGAATTGCCAAATTTTTGGTTTTATGATTGTTTTAAAAATTATCTACAGACAAGCATCCCCCTTATCACCTGTACTGGGGGCAGGCAGCTCCCACCACCCCCACCAGATATGCTACTGTATCTGATTCTGATAACTGAGTCCCCCTGGACTCAGGACTCCTTTGACTTCATCTGCCTGAAATCATCTGCTAACAAAGCTTATGACAGCAGCAGAGTCCTGGGCCTGCTTTGGGTGGGAAAAAAAGTTGAAACTGCCCCTTCCTTTAGACCTCTCTGGTGTGGCAACATTGTCTATTCTTGGGATCTGTGTCCCAGACGCAGAAGCAGATGACCCGGGAGTTGGGTTGCTGAATAATATTAGGATTCCTTATTTTTGACAGGTGTGCAAACTGAGTGTCAGGCCCCTGGTGTCCTTTGCATTGCCTTCATCTGAAATTTACTGGACCTAGCTGGCCCCGGGAATCAGGAGTTGCAGAAGGAGAAAGCTTTCATTTTCCTGGGGGAATGGCTTTGAGGGCACATAGAGCTTGAGTGATAAGGTCATTGGAAGTTTGCATTTAACCAATTGAATCTTTACAGGGTGAAAAGGGTGCCATTGGCTTGCCAGGCCCAGATGTTTTCATCGATACAGATGGTGCTGTGATCTCAGGTGCAACTTCTCATTGATTGGAGTGAAAAAGAAAGGACTAGGGGTTACATCTATATTCCCTATAATTGTTAAGAGGACACTTTTTCAGCCACTGTATCGCTGCTCAAGCCAACGCCCTCAAGGGCCCCTCATGGGTCCTGTACTTGGGGAATGAAGCTAACTCCAATGTATTTGGGCAAAGAAGCCAAGGCCTCTACTCCATGTTTGTATTGGGCCCACCAAGACTAACTAGGGTTTTGGTCAGACTGGGCCTGGACTTGCTGAAAGTTGTTCTCCTAATGATGCTGGGGAAGGATTGATATCCTCCCTGGCTAGGCTTACTTCAGCCTGATACAGTGGGACACTTGGGATCTTATCTGCATGATCCCATGCCTGCTTGGGTTTGACAATTGCATAGGAAGTGGAAAAGTATCCAAATATCCAACAATGTTCCCATTGCCTTCTCCAAACATCGGTATGCCCACTGTCTCCTGCAACTTCTTGCTTAAGCAAAGTCTTCTATGACTGTACCTCTTTTGCCTCAGTCTCTGAAATTGTTTCTCCCCTCTCATCCTCTCTGGCCCATGCCCTGTCCAGTAAACTCATTGAAACTAAGGTTTTAATGGTTGATAGTAACTTCCTGGGAACATATTGGCATAATGTGAACAGTAGACTTCAACACCCTCATCCAAATGGTAGACATTTGAGGCATGACAGAAGGTTGATAGTAATAGAAGACCCTTCCTAGTTCTTAGCAGATCTTATCATGGAAGGTTAGCCCTCGCCGGACAGGTTCTGAACACTAGTGGAGCCTTAGCTCCTGCCGGCCCATGATTACATGAGACCGTTAGCATCTGGGAGACCTGTGAAGGGCAAGAAAGAGACTTCTACCCTGAGGACATCTCCTTGCAACCCTTCTTAGGCATTATTCTGTGCCATTTGTGGGCCTCCTCTGGGTTTGCTTACTCCCTTTTCTTTTTTTCATCGTGATGCCAGGTTATCCTGGAGACCCCGGTATGCCAGGCCTCCCAGGACTTAAAGGAGATGAAGGCATCCAGGGCCAGCCTGGCCCTTCTGGTGTCCCCGGCTTACTGGCTTTACCAGGTGAAACAAACTAACCCACCCCCTGCACAGACATGCTGGTGCCCAGCATCCCCTTCGGCATCCCCATCTGGTCTGGGTACATACCTAGCCAAAGTCAATGGAAAGGTAAACTGTAGTCACTAAGATCCCCACCACCAGCCCAAGGCTAATGTATAGGATAGGACCTGGCCAAGCAGCTTTCCTTTGGCCTGATGATGTGGTGTTGCTGGACAGGTAATCCTTTTGGGGTTTGCAGTAACTGCAAGGGACCGGTGTTGGACAGCTGGAACCCTGTCACTCTTCAGTGGATTTGCCATCCCAGCTGATGCTTGCCAGCAGGGGCTAACAAAAGCCAAGAGGGGTACAAAAGTACCCAGACCCTCATTCTGTGCTTAACTCAGACACTAAATAGCCCAGGAGCCTATGACTGAAGCCACCATTAGAGGAGCACACCCATACGTCATTCTTTAGTAGTGAATAGAGAAATGCCATGCTAGATTCTCAGAGGCCATGATGAGGCAAATGTAAGTTCAGGCAGGACTTTGACAGGCATCAGTTTCAAAGTTCCTTGGGGATAGACATCTGTAAGGATGCCTGTGCTTTGAAAGCAACCACCACTGAGGTTGAAAAATCAAAAAGGAGGAGACTGGAGACCAGGCTTCCCACTCAGGTTCACCACCAAAAAGCTCTGCACCCTTGACCATGTTCCCCCATGTCCTCTGCAGCTGCCCTCTGTCCAAGCTTCTCCCCCACCCCGATCCCAAGCAGGCTCCCCATGGCCTCAGCCGAGCCAGCGGAGATGGCTAGACCCACCTGTACAACTAGGGAATTTCCCGAACTGGGAAAGGGGGAGCAAGGCTACGGGGGAGCCTGGATGGGGCTCGATCTCACAACCCTGAGATTGCGACCCTGAGATCCTGACCCTGAGCTGAAACCAAGAGGTTGGCCTAGATGACTCCTAGGACCCTTCAAGCTCTGATGCAAAAGAAGGGCAAATGGTCTCCCCAATTCTTCCTTTGGAGGGAGTTCCCAGCATATGCTGCTGCTTGGAGCACCCCCAGAAGAATAGGATGACATGATTTGCATTACTTATTACATTATTATTACATTATTATTATAATTACATCATCATCATCATTATTATTATTATTATTACATTATTACATTACATGATTTGCATTGCTTATCCTTCCAGGTATCCCAGGTGCCCTAGGGCCCCAAGGAGTTCCAGGTCTGAAGGGGGACCAAGGAAACCGAGGCCGCACCACAGTTGGGACAGCTGGCCCCCCTGGCAGAGATGGTTTGCCAGGCCTGCCTGGCCTACCAGGCCCACCTGGTAAGTCCTTCATGTTTCTCTTTGGTCTTGAGACTCAGGTGTGATCGGGACTGCAGAACAGTCATGATTCTTGAGGGAGAGAGTATCTCATAGGAGAAATAGCCAGGACCTGTGGTGCTCCTGGGTCAGAGCTGCCACAGGCTAATGACCAGAGTGGTCAGAGCACTCACCCACAAGCAAGTAAGCTAAGGCCACCTCGAAGCCTGAAAGCTGCCTGATGCCTTCCAATCTGTGTAGTCATTTCATCCTACCCTCTGTTGTTCCCAGCCCCTCCATCTCTGGTCTCACAGCTCCTGAAGAAGCAATGTTGGCTCTCTCTCAAGCTTCCTCTGGTCCTCAGGGCTCCAGGGGGGCAGGGAGTGGCTGGGAGCCTGAGACATGGGAAGCCAAGCCTGGGTCCTCAAGACAGTTGCTCCAAGCCTCTACAGGGCTTATTCTTATGTCTTCTACTTGAGCATGGGTTCTAGATTCTAAGAGAAAGGGTGGACACAGGCCCAGCATGTTTCGTCATCATCTAAGCCCCATGACCATGTCATCTGAACCCTGGGAAGCTTGTACCCATTTCCTCTGTTGTCCCAAGAGCATTTTCTGGGGTAGACATTGGGACTGCTCATTTACTGAAGCTGTCTTGGTCATTCCTGTCCCCTCGGTGTCTAGTCTAGTGCCTGGAACATGGTAGTCCTTCTGTGTGAACCTCAAGGACACAGGCCTTAGCAACTGAGCTGCTGTGCTGAGTCATACATGATGCATCAATCTTTGTGTTTCCCTTTTCCTGAAGGTCCCACATTTGAGACTGGAACCCTACAGAATGCAGAGCCAGGCTTCCCTGGTCTCCGAGGAGAACAAGGTCCAAAAGGAAACCCTGGCCTCAAAGGAATGAAAGGTGACTTTTTGTTTTTGGTCCCCTTGGGTTTTTGTGTTCCCCTAAAATCCTTGCAGAAGACTTTCTGGGGCATGAGCAGACTAACAGCTTTGGGAACCTGAACAGAAGCAGTTGGGGGGGTCTGATTGGGGATTTGATTATAGGATTGTTGGCAGAGCTCCATATTTTGGGCTCAGAGACTGAGGCTGGTAATCGAGGTCACAGGGGACAAAGTGGTTCCCGGGCTTTTCTTCCTCTTCTTCTTCCTACGCCATCTGCCGGCAGAAGCTGTGGCCGGCAGCCCCGGCTATAAGCCAGCACACGCTGCAGCCCTTCCCAGCGTGCAAGGCCAAAGGCCGGAAGTCACTGCTCATTAACTTCAGCCGGAAGGAAAGGACTCTGAACAGGTCAAGACCTGGCCCTCCAAAAAAGCCAACAGGCCCTAGGAAAACAACCACGGGTCCCCACTGAGGGGGAAGGGCTGATCGATTAACCCAGCCTTCAGCGGCACAGCTCTGTCCATCATCTTACGGCCTCTGGGTCATTCCTCTGTTGCACACTCTTGAGAGCCGGATGTTAAAGTGCAAATCAATCAATTCGTTTCAGTTGCGGCCCAGGCCAAGGTGGAAGAAGAGGTGAGACTGCAGGCTGAGGAGAGGTTTGGGGATGGCCGAGGGGTTTCAAGTACCTGAGATCTTTCCTCTTCTGTTGCAGAATGACCGGCTCACCTCAGCCTCAAGTAGAGCGGTCCTTGCTTCCTCTTCCCTGATCTCAGTGCCACCTCCTAGCATGTCACTACTTAATTAGATCCATCTCTGTTGTACAGCTCCAAGGAGGACTATTTGGAGGGAAAAGGAAGGGAATTACAAGCTTTGACTTAGGATGTGAGCCTGGGCTCTTCCCTGACTCACCATAGAGTTGTTCAGGGTGCAGATCCCTGCATTCATATTATTCTTTTTTCTTGGAAAGGTTGTCCACTTTGTTTAACCATTGTCTTTTTTTTCCCCTAGGGGACTTGGGCTTCTGTGCCTGTGATGGTGGTATCCCTAACACTGGACCACCTGGGGATCCAGGCCTGCCTGGGCCCCCCGGCCTCATAGGCCTTCCAGGCATTAAAGGAATCAGAGGAGATCCAGGCTCTGGGGGTGCACAGGGCCCATCAGGGTCTCCAGTAAGTCTCACCCAACTTTTGCTGGGAGGGAGCACTGGGAGCTCTCCAGGGCCCCTTATTCCCACCCCATGTGCTTTCCTAAAACACAGGAGAGATGGGGATAAAACAAAGCTTCAGGATTTGGATCTGTAGTATGAAAAAGTCAGACCAGATGATGTACAAAGTCCCCTTCTGCATCCTTCCCTCCGCTGTCCCTCCCTTCCTCAATTCTTCCCTTCCTTCCACAAAATCATTTGCGTTTGCCTAGCACGCTCCGGGGCCCTGAAGGTAAAAATCAAACTAAGACAAGGTTACCATCCTCAAAGATTTAAACTTTGAGAAAGGATAAGAAAATCGGTGGGCAGTTGTGCTCCAAGATGATGGCATATTCAAGTGCCTAGAGTGGTGCCAAAAGGTACCTAAGGATTTGCTTCAGGCCAGACCTAGGCTGGGTGCCTGAGTCCTGCCCTGTCTCCATCTCCTGATTCTGCCCTTTTGTCTCTTTATCAGGGTTTATTTGGGCCTCGCGGTCCTGTGGGCCCCAAAGGAGAGAAAGGGGAACCGACTCTCAGTTCAGGATCAGGGGTGCCAGGGGAGCAGGGTGATCCTGGCCCCCAGGGGCTCCCTGGGGAGACCGGAGCCCCAGGCAAGGATGGAATACCCGGCTTACCAGGTCTGCCAGGACTCCCGGTAAGTTGATCGTTACTGGGTGATGAGCTCTATAAATCCTCACATCTGACTTCAGTCAGCGGCGGGGGGGGGGGGGGGCAGTTCTGATGGCCACTAGACCATGAGACAGGGCAGAACAGAGTCCCCAGCATCTCTTCTGGCCTTGGCCACTAATGCTCTCTGCTCTGTGCTTCTCCTTTCAGTAATATGGGAACCTTTCTCTGGGCCTGGGTCACCTTCTCAGTTGATAAACCCCCATAACCATTGACCCTATTGCTTAAAATGACAGTTACCCTGCTCCTGTTCCCTACCCCCTTCCCCACCACTGATCTAGGAGGTTTTGCGTGATCAGATCTCCGAGGCTTGACTAGCTTTGTTCCCATTGACCAAACCAGAGGAATTGATTGAGAAACTAGAGGGATTGAGGATTTTAGCCAAAAGTGAAGCATTGGCCACATTGGTTACCTCTTTCCTGTGGTCGGAAGCCTCTCCTGATCCGTCTTTCAATTGGACTTTCATTCTTTCTTCTGTGTTATCTAGGGTGATGGTGGACAGGGCTTCCCAGGTGAAAAGGGCTTCCCAGGACTTCCTGGTGAAAAGGGCCACAGTGGTCCAATTGGCCCCCCAGGAATTGGGCTGCCGGGATCTCCTGGACCTCGAGGGCTTCCTGGAGATCAAGGAATCAATGGATTACCAGGTCAACAAGGCCTCCCTGGGCTTCCCGGTAAGTCATGGAATCAGATGGCCTGAGCCCTGAAAAACTGACCCCCAGTAGAGTATGGCTATGACCCAGGTGCATGAAATGTGTCAGATGAATAGACTTGGCTGATTGCAATTTCTAAGGGATTTCATGTGGAAAAGGATCATAATTATGCCATGGTACACACTGCACAGAGCAATGTAGATTTCAGTCCTACTTGGTGAGAAAACTTCGTAACAGACCAGTCTGAAAAGGTAACAGAGCTGCCTCGGGAGCTTATGAGAGCACAGTCTCTGGGAAATTTCAAGCGGATGCTGGATGGCCGTTTTGTTATAATTACCATCAAAGTAATGAGCTGGAGATGGGATAGGTGTCCTCTAAATTAGATGGTAATGTCATCAGCGAGGAAGGGCCTTTCCTTCATTCCTGAGGTCTCAGATTGACAAGAGACCCTACTCGTATCTAGTCTTATCACTATTTTCTACCTTAAATCTTTCCCACTTAAAGAGCTTCTTTTTGTCCCTAAATTACCAGAATTCTAAGGAGTGACAGCCCTGCTTGTAGATGGCAAAGGGGCCATGCTAATAGCTCGCCTTCTTCCAGAGCAGCTCTTCATTCCAACTTTGGCGTCCATTTGGGAACCACCCTACTTATGGTTATCTGAAGTTTGGAAACTTGAAATTCGTCTCTCATTCTTCATTTGCAATGCTTCTTATGTTCTTTCCTTCCTTTTCTTGCTGTCGATCTCTTGTTATCTCATGCCCAGCTTATCAAATATACCTCCATGCCTGTTAGAATAAGTGGAGGGTTGAAAGGAAGGATGGGTGGTTGGATGGATGTGTGGGTGTATGGGTGAATGGCAACAACTTCCTATGTGGCTTCTCCTCTCCTACCTCCAGACTTTCGCCCACTCAATTCTGCTATGAACACTGCTGCCAGTATAATATTTGTAAATTATTGCTGTCACTGTGTTTTGCCCTGGTATGAAGCCACAAATGGTGGCCTTTTTCTGGAATGTTCTTCCTTGTTTTTCTATTTCTGAACTGTTCTTCCTCTTTTTTTTCTATGCAGCCAGGTTTTACCTGTCTTTCAGGGTACAAGCCCCATTTTTCCACTAAGCCTTCTCTTGACCTCCCCAGGATGTCACTGCCACTTCAATTATGTATTTTCTTCTGTTAACGTTTTTGCTTTTCCCAACTGCTTCATAAGCATCTGGATGCTAAGGAGGCAATCCTTTTTGGCATGTCTCCATTTGCCTAGTACAGTGCAAATTCCTTAAGAGACTAACATACACTTGCAGAAAAAGGGAATTCTCAGTAACCAAAGGGCCATTTCTTAGACCCGTTTCTTCTCTTTCTACCTTGACATCTTGAAGAATTACCCAAAAAAAAGAAGACAGAAACCAGAGCTTGTCAATTTTTATTTCTCATAAAATCTGCTTGTGTATGTTGTTATAACAAGGATGATGGTACAGGTTAAGAATCAATGATTCAAGATTCTTAAAACCAAGTCAATATTTCAGCTTATAGATTCCTATGAAGGCCGTAAGGAATTTTTTTTTATTATTAAATTTTATTTTTTATAAACATATACTATATTTTTATCCCCACGGGTACAGGTCTGTGAATCGCCAGGTTTACACACTTCACAGCACTCACCATAGCACATACCCTCCCCAATGTCCATAGCCCCACCCCCCCCTC